CGGGGGATCTGGCTTACTGTGATCTAGCTAGAGACGACACGGTTCATTCATATTTTAATGTTTTTTAATTATCGAGAACTGTCATGTGTCAATCCGATTATGTTAAGAAGTACAAACACTTTACTATTATTTCAGAACTTGCATGTGTGCTTTTATCAACATTTGTGTTCAATTCTCACAAACTTGGAAAATTAATTTTTTATGCTGCGACCAGTCGGGCAGTCGGCTTGTGACCCCTTTATCTTCATCATCCAAGGGAAAAGGAATGGCGTTGCATTTTGCGGTTGAGTTGTTAAAAATGCTGTTTATTGTCGTACGAATTTAACTGTAATGTTATTTGAAAGCATTATTATTGATTTATTGGAAAAGTCTTCCCAAAATTGCCAGCGTGTAATCAGATCAACAACAAACGCAACACAAGGGCTGCAGCAGTGATTTAAATTTATTAAAGATCAAGCGGTGTCGGATATGATAGAAATGAAAGCAGTACTTATTATGTTTTTGGTTGTTGTCCATTTGATGTTCTGATAACCCATGTAAGACTATTAAATCGATAAAAATCTAATTTGTGAACAACTATGTGTCAGGTATGACAAATGTCAGCGTGACAGTTTTCCCGTGTAGCTAACGGTCTCTACTACTAGCATGGCCGACTAGTATAAAGATTATGGCCTGTCCAAGAGGTACCATACGTGTTGCCATCTATTAATAATTACACTTAATAATTTAGCAAAATTTTTATTTTATTTGACATTATGAGACTTTAAAACGTGTAATGGTCGTTTGTTTCGGTATGAATGCCTTTGTGCCTTTCAAAAAGTGTTAATAATTCTTTTGTCGTTTTTGAATGATTAATAGATGGCAGCACGTATGGTACCTTTGGACAGGCCATAATCTTTATACTAGTCGGCCATGCTACTACAAGATTTCATTGTTGAATTGACCTTACGGAGAGTAAATAGCAGCCGGCACTAGACGATCTATATAAGGGTAAACATATTCTTTAAATTTACGGTAACACCGGAAATAACATTAACTTTGTATTTTCAGTTGGAACACTCATATTTTTTAATAAATGAATTGTTTGCATTTTTTCGACAAACAAATTAGTATTCTAAAATTAAAAATAAAAAAGTTATTCAGTAGAATGGACGAAAAATTAATATTTTTGTATGAAAATCTATCAGCCTGAAAAATTAACAACCATCTTTTTATTCGCACAGTTTCATTAAATTGATATATACATTTTTTGATTGACAAAAACCACCATTAAATTAAATACAGACCACATCAAAACGGAAATTTAATTTTTGAATATTCCTAATTTTCTTAACGGCCAAAATAGTACAACAGCCTAAGAACTAAATTTAAGTAAGCAACAATGAGAGTACAGATATTTTTCACAACAAATTTTCAAAAATGTGTCCATTTTGTTCGATACACATTTTGGCAAGTCTGTGATTACCTTGTGTGCCATGCGCTATAAACTGTGGGTTTAATGTTGTGCAAATCTTTCTGACGCGTGTTTCCAAGAGATTTTTGTCTTTCCATTCATCGAAGTAAACAGTACACAAAAAAAATATCAGTGAGGTTCAAATCGGCGATCTTGAAGGCCGTCTTATTCCGCACCTAAGGGTCCTGAAATGTATATTTTTGTTAAAAAATATCCACGTTTCTCACGTTGTTAGGTGGTGCCACATTCTGTACGGTAAGTTATCTAAATGATCTTCTTCCATCTGCCACGTAATACGTAAATATTGCTCACCTTTCAGGTTGATATAAAAAAAAGTATGGTCCAATTATGGTATTATTTACCTTCCCAACGCATATATAAAATTTTCAAGCTATTTGGTTTCAATAAATGCAAATTTTCAGTAGACCAACAGTGAGTATTGTGTCTATTGAAATAGTATTTAACATTACTAGTACGGTAAAAGGGTTTTTACTGGCGAACAGAAGGATATGACTGGCGAGCCGCAGGCGCAGAGCCTGGGGCTCGCCAGTCATATCCTTCTGTTCGCCAGTAAAAACCCGTTACCTTGGGTGTATTGTTCAATATTTTATTTGTTTCTCACTTGTAAATAACTATTATAAACTATTAAAAACCTTAGAAGGTCCTATATTTGAAGAAACATCGTATGAGCTTTAGAGCCTTGGAAACGCACGTCAGCATGGCACTTATTGTGTTGTCTAGTTCTGTCATTTAGATTTTTCGATTTATCGTTTTAGATGCATTGAAATGAGTGTGGCGCAAGCTATATTACTGAGGAAGCAGCAATTGTGACTGAAAATTTGCCTGAATCAACTTTGGATGTCATTTAAACTTATAATAGTTTAAAATATATGGCTGTATGAGCACAAGCAGGTGTATAAAAATTTTTATGGTATACTGAATCGTAAACGTCTGTTTATTTATCTCTGTCTCTACGCGTAAAGAATCTCTTTACAGGCTAGATCGGTAAAAAATTTTACGGGCTGTCACTTTTTTAACGATTTAATATGTATTTAAAATCTACATAGAAGAAAATTATACAAAACACAGAAAAAAAATTAACAATCATGTTCGTAAGGATTCAAAGATTCTTGAGCATCAGGAGTAAAAAATGATCTGGAAGCATGGTGCCTTGGTTTCTTGCAATTTGACTAGGACGTATTTTTCATGGTCGGTAATGTCATCTACAGTTAATTTGAGTAATTCACCTCGGCGACAAGCACCATACAAGGAAAAGATAAGCACAACCTTGCACAGTAAGAAATCATTCGAAGCATCCAATATAAATTTGCAACAGACAAAACATTGATTTTTTCGATGCATAACGTAAATTTTGGTTTTTCATAAATGCCATCATCTTTTCAAATCTGTGAAACCAATGATAATTATGTACCTATATTATTATTATAATATTATATGCTTGCAACAAAACGAAGCATGACAAACCTAGATATGTCAACATTTTCATTAACGATAAAAGCCTTCTTCAACATAAAAAATTTAGTCCATAAACTTGATACTTTTGACAAACTGGAATCGTAGGTACGCCAGTATAACAGTTTCATTTAAGTCGGTACTGATGGCCGTTTTCTGTCTCCATTCATTGAATGCTTTTAGTTCATTTCCATATCGACTTCGTGACTTCTCTGGGAATAATTAACTCTTCGCTTCTTGTCCTGCTTGTTTTATTTCTTTTGGAAGATCCATTTTCCGATAATACATAAAAGACAACCCACAGCACCAAAACGTTTCTTTGTTTACACAAATTTTTCCGTTGTCATGCTAACATTTGTCAGACGTTTTCAACTGCTATTGCGATTGAACATATTACGCTGCATTGCTCCAAAAAATGCTAGAATTTTTATGAAATTCAGTATACCATAAATAAAATTTAGTATACCATAAAACATTGTACAAAGCTCGCCCGTTGTCGAACTTTTCGTGCTCGCACAGCTAAGAAGCTCGCTATCGCTCGCTCGTTAGATACTGTACTCACAGGTAAAGTTCTATATAACGGGCTTACATCGTAAATAACTACTGGCTAGCCAGTTAAGTGACATTTTCATGTTGAATACAGTGACTTGATAAATTGATGTTTACAAGTGAGGAACAAATAAATGCCTTTACTGGTGAACAAAGCGTTGTAGCTCCAAATAATGTTTTAAAAATATAATTGTACTCTTTCACTTCTTGTTAGTAGCCACGCTGCAAATTCTTATCTTCTGGCAAAATCACTTGGTGTGTTCTGTATTTAAACGGACGCCTACCATTTTTCTTCAAGTGCACCGCGAAATACCAAAATTTGATTCAAGTTATTGGATAGGAATGTCTCTATTTTCAACAACAGTTAAGAAAACATTGAGCACCGTGTCATCATGTTCGGTGATATTTGCGAATATCCTCTTTTCCATCTTAAACTGACCTTTACTTTTTAAATTATCAATAATTTGCTTCAAATATCTCCTATACAATTGTTTCTTGTTCGGATATAATTTGCTGAACATTTGGCGAATAAGACTGAAGCTTTTGTTGCATTTCCCATGCACCAGGATCATATGAAAATAGTCCTCGTTACTGAAATTTTCCAGAATTTCTACTACTTATATTATTGCAACAATGATAATGATAAAGCTCCAAAAATACGAACAATCTTTTTGTTACATATGTCCAACTCACAGATCAAATACTTATTTTTTTCACTAGCAGCCATGACGCATGCAAATGTCGATTCATTTAGAGGTAGCAAATTCAACTTTTGCGACCACGGGTTCAAAAAGAAGATTGAGGTCGCAATACTTGATGTGATTATTTTTTAAAAAATGAATGCTACTAACATTACTTGAGTATACGAATGGTAGTTGATAGACGGTAGAAGATAAAATGATTAATTCAGTGACAAGTGTAAACGGTTTTCTTTGTGTTGAAGATTTAGATTAAGTTTGATTAAAAATCAAAACAAAATCATGTTGCGTCAAAAAATTGAATGTTTATTTTTTCAATTTATTGTCTTATGGTTTCTACTAGTGAAAAAAATAGTATATTAACCACGGTTGCAAAGCCACTTCTAGACCTCGCGCTTCAGAGCCCTCGACGCTGCGCGTCTCGGGTTCTAATTTGCGCTCGGTTTTGCAACCTTGGCTAATAATATAGTATTTTTAACAACTGGCTTTGAATTAAATGGAAAGTTCTTGACTTATTTTAATAAATAACTTTTTAATTATTATTGATTTTAGAATATTGGTTGTATTTGTTTGCAGTAAAAAAAGCAAGCTTTCCATTTAGAAAAAATATACCGAGTGTTCCATTTAAAAAATAAAGTTGGTGTCATTTCCGGTTCTATAGGAAGTGGTAATACGCTGGTGTGTTTGCCATTAGATACATATTTTAAGTTGATACAAATCTGCTCAAGAAATTATAGGTTGGTCTCTAAAAATAAAAAAGTTACAGGAGTTGTATGAAACAAAAAAAAAAAACACCTTTATACATGTCTCTAATTGTATAATTGCAGGATTTTGAATACTGTGTATTAAGTGGTGATCGAGAATGCACATACTTGACTGGAGAAGTACATGAAGGTATTGGAGACCATAGACGCCAATCAATGTTCTTTTGTGGCCATCGATCCGAGTGCTTACCATTTAACACTAAAGGAGCATTGGAAAAAGCGAAAAGAGTCGTTGAACAACATTATGCTGTGGTGGGAGTGCTTGAAGATTTAAATAAAACTTTAATCGTTTTAGAAAACTACATACCAAAATTTTTTACAGGAGCATCTTCTATTTACTGGAGTAAGTCCCATATCATTCAGTTTTAAACTGTAGTAGGCTATCGTTATTGGCATCACAAATTCGGTTATATGCAGAAACCTTATACACAGTGTTCTTTAACACTGGTCATTGGGATTTAAGTGCAAATCTTTGAGAAGTGTTAACAAGTTTTCTATCAGCAATTTGATAGAATATTTGACTAATATTTTATAAGGCAGTTTCAGTCACATTTTATGGTACAGAACAAAATAATAATAATTATAGTATACTTGCCCAACAGAATCATGTTCCAATGATATGACAATAGAGTGAATTTATAATATATGTAAACTTGAACTTACAGAGCATTCTGACTAAACTTAAAACTAATGGCAAGTCCGTAAAACTAGATATTAATTGACCCTTTTCCTGTAAGATCGTAAAACTTCTATAGTGACTTTCCGTGCGCACGCATCTTCAAAACCACGTTGGAAATAGTATCCGTCACTCCGGCAGCAGAGCAAAGGCCTGTGACAACAAACCGCGTTGACAGAATGCAACCGGCTACACATGCGTAATATGTCGCTCATTGGTTAATTTTAACTTTGCGCTCCAAAAATCTGACTTCGCCTGCGCGATGTTGTCTCACTCTGTATCATTGGAATTTATATAATGTCTACTCACTTTGCTTACAGGAAAAGGGTCAATTATAAAGCGACATATAGCAATGGAAAAAAAATAAAAATTATGCAATATTATACAGAGCATACTAAAATCAAAAATTAAATCTTTTACAAATTATTTTTTCATTTTATAGTTTGGAACTGAATAAATCATACTCACCATATTCTTTTAATCTATTCTAGTAAGTATGTGATAATTAGTTATAGCGAAGCTTTCCTGCTAATATTTGTACGCGGCATAGTTGTATAAAATGTCGGTCAAGCAAAGTTGTGCGTGGACCGATTACTCCACCCCCCACACAAGATACACATAAATAAAAATACGTAAAAACCAAATATAGCAACACATACATTACACAAAATAATAAAACATAGGGAATCATGGGTACCCAGTCGCTTTGAATTGTCTTTCTTTCAATAAACGTTCGTAAGTTCCGGCGTTTCTTTTTTAACCTTAGGACAGAACAGAGTACACACAAAAAAAACATGGTTTTAATTTCATCGACAATATTTACGGTCAACCACAAATCCCGGATCACTAATACAAACTTTCAAAAACTTGAAAGTTTCCGATCGACAACCCCGTATTTTGCGCACCACTCGCTTGTCTTTTAACGGTTGAATTTTTGAAAATTACTTGGAATTTTCCAGCATGAGAATTTACAACAAATATAAATAATAAATCAAGGAAAAGTCATCCAAATACCTTAGATATTATAATGTTAGTCAAATTAATAATATGCCCAATTAACCGATATTCCTAAAAAGTCCTGTGACAACATTTAATGAACTAAAAATGCGAAAACGAGATTTATGACAATGGACATCTGAGGGATTTTTCCGTGGATTTTGGCAAATGCTTCGAGAGCGTCTTCGTGGTTAAATGATCCCTCGAGATGGTCGGCTCCGGGTACATAAACATCGAAAATGAGGATTAAAAATCGAACACCCGGTGGTGTTTAAGAAAAACAGACATTTAAAGTACCCAATCTCATGCACAAAAGAAGAAAATGCATTTAACACATACCTGTAGAATCTGACCTCACGCTTATCAACACCTGTCGCAGCGTCCTTCAATACTCACACCTGAAGACCACTACGGGGAACTACCGGATCGGTGGAAAGCTCGGAACGCAGGTGAAAACAATGCTTTTCGCCGAAAAAAGAAAGAGAAAGCACACTCAGCAGTGCACAGACTTTCGGGATATAAAGAAAAATTACCACCTTTGTCAACGTCTCTGCAACAAGTATCCGGTCACTCGCGCTTCGTCATTCTTGCCCCTCCAACCCATAGATGTTAAATTAAGTTACCTAGATACCCGACTACCTAACCCTGCGCTGCAGAGAGAAGTGAAGCTTCAAGGTCGAGTGGCCGCCATTTGTCAGAAAGGCAAAACATTGCTGTCAATGTATGATCGCTTGGTAATATATTAGGAAAATAGTGCTAAATACAGGGTGTTATTGAAATACTGGAAACAAAAAATCTGGTGAATGTAGGGAACCTAAGAAGTCAAATGAACGTTTGTTGTTTAGTAAAATTTTGAAAGGAAAATTTAACCCCTATCCAAACATTCATTCCTCCACTGATAAATAATGGTTTCACGAAAAAATGTGAAACCTAGTAACTGAAAACTGTCGAGGTGTAACTACTGTTGCTATTAATTTATTGCTAGCAACAAATAAACAATGACAATAATTAATGAACTGACAATTAAAACTTCAAAATCATAATTTAATCGACCATAAAATGAAACAAAACGTAACGTATGCAACTAGAGCAAGTTTTCAAAATGTCCACCACCATTTCGTATACACGCTTCCGCACGTCTAATCAATGATTGTTGCCTTGTTCATGTAGAGTTCTCCACACCACAAAAGGTGAAACTCCCACTCGGTAAGACAATCGTCTAATGCTTATACCTGGATCGTTTTCAACGACATTCAAAATTTCTTCTTCGGCATCAAGTGTCCGTTCTGTCCTTTCACGACCACGATCACTAAAACGGGTTGAAATTTCCCATTTTCTCGTAGACGCTCAACAACGTTAGCAAATGTTTTATGATTTGGCAATCTTCGTTCGGGAAATGCTTCTTGGTATAAACGTCGAGCTTCCAAGGAGTTTCTTAAGGCTTGTCCATACATCAGAACCATGTCAGTCATTTCAGAATTAGAAAAATTCATTTTGTTCTTCCAAAAAATTGCAAAAACGTCAAAAAATGATGGGCTAATGAATGTATTGTCATGTTAACAAGCAACAATTTTACCTACTTTAAATTACTATAGTGATCAAATTTACCTTTAACATTTTTGGAATCAGTAGCGCACACGCAAATTTTAACAGATTTTCAATCAATTTTATCTCGAAAACTAAAGGATTTTTATTAGATCAATATTTGATGCATTAATTCTCTACATCATGACCAATTACCTTAAAAAAAGTTTCCATCTATTTCAAAAATACCCTGTATATGTATGTACGTTGCGAACTGTTTCATGTGTATTGGGGGTGAATGTGTATGATTACGTGAATTAAAGTATAGTTCCAAAAAGTGTTGGTTTATTAAGAGCGAAATATGCCGGCATCGTGTTCCGTATTTGGGTGTACAAATCGGTTTAAACCAGGAGGAAACGTCCAGTTTTTTGGGTAATTTGCGGTCGATTGCTAAATCGGTTTGTCTTTTTATTATGTGATTTTGTCTTTAGATTTCCCCTGAAAAATGAAAAGCTCTTGGAACAGTGGGTTAGAGTAATGAAAAGAAAAAAATTTACACCAACAAAAGCCAGTAAATTGTGTAGTGACCCTTTCACTGAAAGTGATTATTTGGTGCGTCCTGGCACGTATTTACTGCTTAGGTATTTTTTTAATTTTAATGACTTCTGATTTATGTAAGAATTGGAAAACTATTTTAATTATTTTTCCTCAATAACGTAACATTTGTAGTATATTTTAAGTTATATGTACTTTTGTTGTATGTCAGGATTGGCAAGCTAACAATAAAATGTGCATCTGATTTCCTTAGAACAAATAAATCATATTTTACCCTTACTTTCACCATTACCGTAATACGATTCTACAGTATTTTGCCTCTTTGACAAATGGCCGCCATAGGCTTCACTTTACGCGCCGCAGTTGCGCATCTAGTAGAGTATAAGGTTAAAATCTATGCTCCAACCCCTGCTCAAGCGCCATCTCCTCTTCTCGCGCGGCGCGCTTTTTAATTTGAACCGGGGTACGACCGTGATAATGGATTTGTAAATCCTTTACACTTCCTGAGAATAAAGCCCAACATGATATTGACTTTCTGTAACATATTAGCCACATGCTCGTTAAAATTAAAGTTATCGTTATAGTGTACACCAAGATCTTTAATAGATGTAGTTCGCTGAAGAAGGTAATTTCCAAGATGATAATAATCGATCTGGGGAAAATTATGTAATAATGTGAAGGTGAGAACTTTACATTTATTTCTATTCAACTCCAAATTATTCGAACAACACCACTTTCGAAGCTTAGTTAGATCACTTTGTAGTTTAACAGTGCTATCTATCATCTTTAAGATCCGCGAAAATATAAAATTGGGAATATTGAATAACTTCCACCATATCACTTGCACTAATTGTAAAGAATAAAAGTCTAAGTGTAGATCCTTATGGAAACCTTTTATTAACGAATCAGAGAAGCCAAAAAGTGACATCTTAAAGAGTAAAATATGCTGGTCAATTTTATCAGGCCTCTGCAATCAAGTGTGCCTGTTATAATCTGTGATACACAAGATAAATTAGTAAGAGCTAATCTACCTGAAATAAATCCATGCTGATATATGCTTCTTTGATATTGAAATAAATTTGACGGTACAAAACGCTTTCAATTGTATATAAACCGATACAGGTCGGTAATTTTGGACACCAGAGAAATCACCGTATTTATGGACTGGTTATGCTTTAGCAACTTTCCACATATTAGGAAAACAGACATATTTAATACAAAGATTAAATAAATAACATTATGCCTCTAGAAAAACAGCCAAACAACCTGTAACAATAGAGGAGGGGATCTGATCTATCCCAAAAAAGCGACTGTTTTCAAGTTATTTGACAGTTCTTAACACATCGTTCTCGGCGACTTGAGCATGTATGGATAAATTGTTGTATTTCCTACATAAATAACTATCACCAACTGATTGACTGACTTGCAACGAACTGAACGATGAATGAAAAGGAGATGCAAATATGTTAACAATGTCTAATGGAATATTTATCATAGGAATAATCATCTAAATGCACCATATTGGGAATCGAAGTTCGACCAATTTTCTCTTTTTATTAATAATATTATTATTTAATATTATTATTATTTAA